GAAAAATTTGAAAAATTCTCGGCCTGGCCATGTATGTAGTAGAGAAGGAAAGAACAATTTCCGGAGAGGAATCCAAGAATGTTGGGGAGCAGCCACTTGTTAGAGAGATTAGCATGGATAAAAGGGAGCCAGTTGCTATTAGTCAAGACAAAGGGAAAAAGGCATTCCAAAAGCATTTCAGAAATCTTTGAGGCAGCTACTCCCATCACAGGTCCAGAGGCCTAGGAGGACAGAATGGTTTCCAGGGACAGGCCTGGGGCACTGCTCTCTGAATCCTGGCTGCTCCTGGTTTCAGCCATAGCTCAAAGGGCCCCAGGTACTGTTCAGGCTGCCACTCAGGAGGGTGCAAGCTGCAATCCTTGGTGGCTTCCACATAGTGTTAAGTCAGACACGCAGAACATAAGATGGTGGCGGCTTGGCGGCTGCCACCTAGATTTCAGAGGATGTATAGGAAAGCGGCCAGGCTGAGCCTACTACAGGGGCAGAGTTGCCACAGAAAACCTCTACTAAGGCAATGCTGAGCAGAAATGGTTGGAGCTTCATATAGACAATCCCCACTGGGGCACTGCCTAGTGGAGCTAAGGGAGTAGGGCTGCCACCCATGGGACCCCAGAATTATACAGCTACCAGCATTGTGAAACTTTTGCCTGGAAAGCCTCTGCCATTCAACTCCAAACCATGAGAGTAGCCACGTGGGCTTGGCCCAGCAAAATGATGGGGTTAGGGCTGCCTGAGGCCTGAGGACCTGACCCCTCACACCAGTGTGCTCAGGGTGTGGGACATTGAGTATTGGGAGATTGTTTTGGAGCTTTAAGATTTAATGTCTGCCCTGCTGGGTACTGGACTTGCATGGGGTCTGTTACCCCTTTCTTTTGGCCAATTTCTCTCTTTAGGAATGGGAATGTTTACCCAATGTCTGTTTTACCATTGCATCTTGGAAGTAAATAACTTGTTTGTGATTTTACAGGCTTGTCTTGAGTAAGTAAGGAACTTGCCTTGAGTCTCAGATGAGATTTGGACTTTTGAGTTGGTGCTTGGAAGAAGACTTTGGGGACTATTGGGAAAGGATGATTATATTTTGCAATGTGAGAAGGACATGAGTTTTGGGGGGCCAGGGGCAGAATGCTGTAGTTGGGTGTTTGTCCCCCCACACTCTTCATGTTGAAATTTTATCCCAATGTTGTAGGTGGGGGACTAATGGGAGGTGTTTAGGGTCATGGGGGCAGATCCCTCATGAATGGCTTGGTGGTGTCCTTGCAGTAATGAGTCAGTTTTCACTCTATTAGTTCCCTTGAGAGCTGGTTGTTAAAAAGAGCTTGGGGTCGGGCGCGGTGGCTCACGCCTGTAATCCTAGCACTCTGG